CTTCTTTCTGTTTAGTCTAGACAAGGTGGCTGCGTGGATACTGTGGACAAGTTGGTTGGATGCTCAACATGGACGTGGAGGATGTGGTTGGAGCAGTAGCAGTCGCAGATATTCTTCTTAATTTGTTCTTGTTCTATAACTCATGTACTAATCACCCCCACATCCCTTTCTCTTTGTTTAGTCTCGATAAGGTGGTAACATGGAGAATATCGTGGACGAATTGGTTGGATGCTCAACATGGACATGGNATGCTCAACATGGACATGGAGGAAGTGATGAGAGCAGCAGCAGCAGCAGTAATTCATTTTAAATTATTTTTTTTAATGTATTTAACGTATGTACATCATTCTTCTATCCCCTTTTTTTCATTTATGAGTGCTGGCCGGCATTACCTTCCCCCCTCAATCCTTCTTTCTGTTTAGTCTAGACAAGGTGGCTGCGTGGATACTGTGGACAAGTTGGTTGNCGCCATGTTTGGGGTTCATGGCTAGGCTTCTCACTTCTTGCTCGTAAGTGAAAAGAGAAAAGCCAAACGTCCCCCGCTGACAAAGTTAAAGTTTTACTCATTTATTTTCATCCTGTTGATTGCGATGGTCCCATAATCTTCACTTTCAGTCGTAACTATAAACTATGACCGTTCACTACCTACCGCTGCATTGGAAAGGTGTGATCACCTTTTGACATTCGAGAATGTTAGTTAACATTCGTGTTAAAGTTTGTTCTGCACCTTTAGGTGGAGTGAGTTTCAAGTGCAAGAATTGCAAGTGAATACTCAAACCGAGGTGAAGTAAAATACCATTAAAATAGAAAGCAAAACAGGGCAACAAGAAGGTAGGTGTAGTACCAACTGTCAGACATATCTGAGCCAAACAGATCCTGAAATCATGTTATGAACTGAATGTCACCTACTGTACATCCTACGTGAAACCGTTTCCAATAAGAGCAAAATGAAAAAGACCACTCAGCTTGGTAGGGACACGAACGAACATATATGTTAAGAGGCCTAGTGTGGATGCCTCAAGAACGGACAAGCAACGCAGCAAGAGAACGGAGAGCTTCATCTCCATCAATTTCACGGTCTTGTTCATTCTCAGGAAATTTTTGCATATGCATATTTCCTTTAAGACTGAATATTTTTGGAAGTTTTCCCCGAGAGAGTGTAGAGTAATATGTGCAGCTTAGTCAGAGAGATGGACAGAGGTTCAAAATTTTTGGGAAAGTCAGAAAATTTCATTCAAAATCTGTGTTTTATCAAGGTTTTATGCTTTTCCTCAACTATTTCGGCCATAGGTGTATACGACTATCTATAAGACGCACCAACATCTTCATGCAAGATGGGTAAAAACAGCGGTTTCTTCAAGGTTTGTGGTCTCCGAAAAAAAGTGACAAAAATACAATTGTGTTCCTTAGAGTGTACTCTGTAAGAGCCACGATGATCTCACTGCTAGTTCCCCAAGAGGCTCTCTTGCTCTAACAAATGAACTTATCATTATTCTGATTGATTTATTGATACAAGGACGTTTGAAATGTCTTTATGAGCAGCTCCCACAGGTTTCTTTCCAGCATTACGTCACGATTCCAGTACAGTTTCAGATTATTGTATTCAGTTTGTCGAAGATAACGCTCAGAATAATTTCTGAAAAGCCTATTACCGTAAAAACTGGAGGAATGAGTCCTCTTTGCTTTTTGGAATTGTAGTAGAGACCTTGCACCATGTTTTACGAATTTCCGGGACAACACAACTTATAAAAGCTGAGACCTGAGCTGTTTTCAGTATACGTTATCTTTGTTCGACTGCCATCTTTCCAAACAATCTCGTCAGGGCTAGAATTATAAAACAGATGAATCAATTTCAATAATCATTGGCAGATGTGTTCTTCTAAAAACACAATAGAGAGAGAGAAAGAGAGAGAGAGAGAGAGAGAGAGAGAGAGAGAGAGAGAGAGAGAG